TTTGTGCATATTTCTGCCAGGTTGGAGAGGAGATGGCTGCTCTGGCATGAGTTTATGAAGGAGTACGACCACTTGGATGCTTGGCTGAGATTGGCCGAGGAGGCCGTCTCTTCCCCAAACTCCGTCCACATTACCTACCAGACCGCCAAGGAGGAAATGAAGAAGTTTGAGGTGGGGAAAAAGAAATATCTTAAACAGAAACTGAAATCTAAACTTGGCTTCAGGTGTTTTAACCTGATCTGTATTTTTGTTGTGCACTGAATCTCTTTTGTCGTCTCTCTGTGACAGAATTGATGTTTGAGGTCTGTTTGTGTTCAGGCACTCGCACAAATTAAAACCCGGGTCAGAGCAAAGCTGGGCCAAAGTTCAGCACATGGTTAAAGTTGTCATCCAGCCAGGGTATAAATATCGCTCAGCAGCCAGTCGTAAAGCTGAAGCAGGCAGCATCAACGCATAAATCTACTCGTGCTGCCGGCTTAAATAACAAGACCACCTCTGACCGAAAAGCTGTAGATTCTTCTTGTTTGCACAAATTAATGCAGGTTCACACTAATCGTGTCTGCAGCTCCAACAAAATGAGGAAGAGGAGAAACACAATTAGCCTGAATTAGAATTTGATGGAAAAGGAGGACAAGGAGAAGGAAGAGCATCTTTATGATGTCACTGAGGTTTCCTTTCATTAATACGATCCTCTCACAAAGAAAGACGCCCCCAATGTAGTTCACCTACTTCCTGTATTAACCTCCTAAGACCCGAACTCTTTCATGGCATTTTTAATTTCTTTGCTATTTGGGCTGATTGGCACCTGATGAATGTAAAAACAAAGAATTGCATGAATTTATTTTATTTTATTTTTAAATCAGATTTTTGTTTCTGAGAAACTTGAGATCCACATATGATGAGATGACCTTGGCAATAATCGTCCTCGTAAGTGGACATCAGGCCCATGTAGAGCAAAATTTAGTATTTTGGTCCACACAACCCAAAATGTGATGTCCACATGTGGACGCCGGGTCTTCGGAGGTTAAATACTGGTGTGCAAAATGTTCTGATCAGGTTTGTATCTGCAGGTAAATGAACATCAAATCTGTTTATACTTTTAGTCTTAAGACCATATGTTGTATATTTATCATCGTTGTGATAAAACCCATGTCAGCCTTTGGTTTATGGACTTTGCATTTTGAAGCTTTAGCATTTGCTTTATTGCTATGTTGGTTGGTTTTTGTGAGCCACATATTAGGACGAGGGATCAGAATCTGGAGTCGTGCACACTGTAGTTTTATTAAGTGTGTATCTATAAGAGTTCTACAACAGATCTAAGGTGTGCCTGAGAACAGGAAGTCGTCTGCATAGAGGAGAACTTTCATAGCAGGCTGGTACAAAGTGAGGCTTTGTGCTCACATTTGCTACAAACACTCGTTTTAATTCTGTTTTGATGCACAAATCAGGCAGAAACGGGACTTTTATGGTGTGTTCTTCTGAACTGATTGCATATCGCATAGATTTGATTTGGTTTCATTCTTTCTGGAAGACAACAGTCGCAGGCTCGTCCAAGTTTTCCAAATATAGGAATATCTCCACCTGATCAAGCCTGGATTTGGGAAACCAAAAAACATCTGCTTCAGATGCACTTTGTGTTTGTGTGTTCAGAGGCTGCGGCGAGAGGCGGGGCCTCGCCTCATCCAGCTGGACAGCCTGACCCGGAGGAATCGAACACTAACTCGGCTCTTCCAGGGTACCATGCAGGCTCGGCTGCTGTCATCGGCGAGGGAGTGCGGCCGCCGCTGGGATGACGTGAACGCCAAACTGCAGTCCATCACAGGCCAACTGCAGGTACGCGAGTCAGACCTTCTGAGGTTTCGCTTCTCTCTCTTCTTTATAGTTGACTCTTCCCTCTCTCTCAGCTCTTTGTCTCAGAGTGGGAGGCGTTTGATGCGCAAAGGGAGGAGCTTGCAGTTTGGTTGGCTGACATGGATGTCCGCCTGATCGAGGTTGAGCAGCTGACAGGAAACGCCTGTGAAAAACTGAGACAGCTGCAGGTGTGGGCTTGTTTTGAAGTGACACATCAGTTTCTTTCTGCATGTTTTTACTTTGTTGTTCATTTTATTTCATCTTTTTTTTATGCGTAGTCGTTTCAGGAGTGCGTGTGTGAGAATTCGGGGCGCGTGAACGCCCTGCTGCAGCGCGGCGAAGCGTTGATCCAGCACAGTGTGGCTTCTGACGCTCAGCACGTCGAGAGCCAGCTGCTGGAGCTGCTGCAGCATTGCAGCCACGTCTACAACAACATTGGACGAACACACACCCGGCTGCTCAGCATGAGACTGGTACACACACACACACACACACACACACACACACAGTAATCAAAGCGTGTCTCAGGTAATTAATATAGTGTTTGATTTTTGTGTTGTTGGACATTTAAAAACATGTTAGGATCTGAAGTAATCACACTTATCGTTCATTTGGTGTTTGTGCATCGTGTCAGCATGAGTCTGACACGACAGTGTGTCGAACAAATACCTGTTTGAAATGTTGATTTTTAAACTCTCGAAAGTAAAATTTAAC